ATGTTCTCCATGCAACGACGTCCCATTTTATTGGATTCGATCCCATGAAATCCATTGCTTCGTTTAGCTTACCTGCCCTACCAAGAAGCCCGACTATGCATGTGTAGTGTTCTAATCCAGGTTCGATCCCAAATTCTCTCATAGTATTATTCAAATAATGGAACCCTTCGTCTATTCTTCCAGTGAAGCCACATGCAGAGAGAACCCCGACAAAGGTTACGTAACTCGGTTTTTGTTTCGCAACTAACATTTCTTGAAATACATTCAACGCTTCTTCGCCTAGCCCGTGAAACGAGTAACCGGATATCATCAAATTCCAAGATATTACATCACGATGTGATGTATTTCTGAATACAATATTAGCTTCTTCTATCAGGCCACATCTCAGACACATGTGGATCAAGGCATTGGCAACAACAGTGTCATCCTTCATCCCTATTTTCTCGAGACGTGCGTGTAATGAACTACCGTAACCAAGGGCTGAAATACCCGCACACGAGTTCAAAAGCACCGCGAACGTGTACTCGTTCGGTACGACTCTTTCGAGGTCCATTTGGAGAAATTGTTTGAGTGCTTCTTCGAAGAATTCGTTCTGTAAATAAGCAGTCAGTATCGCCGTCCAAGTAACCTCGTTTTTAGTTTGCAAAGAATCGAAAACTTTTCGCATGTACGAGATTTCACCGGATTTTCCATACATATCTACTGTAGCACTACCTACAAACAGATTACAATCAACACCAGTCTTGATTACTCTGCAGTGGACTTGCTTTCCCAAAATTGAATCTTTAAGGCGGCCACAAATTCCGAAAAGATCAACACAAGTTATAACATCCCACGCATCGTATTTACATTCCACCATCATTCTGTGCAAAACGTACCACGCTTCTGTCAGGTCGCCATGAACCAAGATCCCATTCAGCACAGAATTGTAGGTACAAATGTCCGATCTTGGAGGAGAATCCAGAACCGAAATAGCTTCTTTGATATCAGTACACATCGAGTACATATACACAAGCGCGTTCTTAACATACTGGTGAAAAATCAGCCCAGATTTCAACCCATACCCATGACACTGTTTGCCCTCATCCAGCAACCCACAATGCGAACAGGACGAAAGAACCGTTGCTAATATATAATGGTTTGGACACAATTTATCTTCTGTAAACATGTTCCTACACAGCTCTATAACCTCAGAAGCACGCCCGTGCTGTAAATACCCAGCCATTATGCTACCCCAAGAGACAATGTTCTTCTTCCGCATTTTATCGAACAGCTGGCGGGCACTCGACATGTCACCGCATTTCGAGTAGAGATTGATCACGGAGTTCCTCTCGATCACGTGGTCTCGAGAAAACTGACTGGAAACAACAAGATGGGCGTGAATGCTTTTGCCAAACTTGAGGTTTTTCGCATCCACAGCTGCTTTTAAGAGTTTCTGCAAGTCCATTGGGTTAACTGTTTCACCTTTTATTGGAGACCCTGAAAAGAGAATTTTTCGATATCACCGTGTCATGACCCACGGCGGTTCCGGTGGAGGCAACGGCGGCGTCGCCGGTGGCTGTTAATTGGCTGTGTGGAAAAAGGACGATGGTGGCGGTTAAATCTGTACAATGAGACGACGTCGTTTAGAAGGGAAGTAGAGAGAGAAAGAAATATTGGGTCAATAATTGATTTGGGCTCATTGAATTGTAGACCAGCCCAGTTCAGAAAGATATCAATTCTCTCTCTCTACAATTTGATCTTATGAAATGATTTACGCGGTACTATAATTAAGAACACTGTTCGTTGTATTCTTGTCTTTCTCTCTCTAAGAACACTCCAAAGCCGCGAAATTCAAAAAACTCTGAACAATTGTCACAAATCTTCCCAAATCCGAAAATCTCTCTAAATTGAAAGGCAATTTCTCATCTAAATTAGTTATATATGTTTAATTTGTGGTTAATCATGTGAAGACTCCAAAAAATCACGTTTTGGTGCTGGTTTTTGGACATTTGCTATTTTAAACATGTTTCTAACTTTTCAGGAATTGCAAAATGGCCCATAATGTGTCCGGCATGTGTCATCGAGTGTTGGACACAAAACGTTACAATATAAAGATTAAACGTTCACAATCTAGATATAGAATTATACTAAGATGAACGGAACTCTAATTTTTGAAAATAATTCCAAGCGAAAATCATCAAGCCCAAAATTCGGATTTTCCAAGATTTAGACAAGAATTTGGTACCGAATGTCGAATTCTTGAAAAGCTGTGGCGTAAGTGTAAACCAGATTATCAAGGTCGTGTATATATTTCCACGTTTTTTCTTGAATAAGCCGGAAAATATGAAGAAATTCGTCGAAAAGGCCGATGAAATGGTTAGTAAGAAATCGGCTACTTTTCACCATAGAGTTTCACCAAAAAGGAAGACGATCAAAGGAGCGAGAGAGACAAGACTCAAAGCCGAGGGTTTCACGAGAAGACATGGGGTTTTATTGCTTGTTCTTAATTTAGGAACGCGGCGAATTCTTGCGGTTTTTATTTATTTGTCTTGTGGTTTTTATTTATTTGTAATGAATTGAGCATCTCCTTATAGGGGAGATGAATCCCTGAACCAATGTTGATGATTTGTATTTAATATTTGACTATCTTTATCGTACTTGATTTTTGTTTTCTTGTTCTAAATGCTTTTGATTTTTTGACCCACAACAATTAGATCGATTATAAACGACGATGAACTAATCAAGAGAAATTCTTGTTGGAACTTACGAAAACACAATTCACGATTGTTGATTTGGAGACGATAATTCACCTTGGTTAGCTCTTTAAAAACTTGGTCTAAATAATAAGCACTTTAAGAACTTTGTGAAAGAGATATAATCCCTAAACCTAGAATAATAAAGATGGTTGGTCAGGGACTTGTGCACAAAAACCCCAAATAATAACACGAAAATAATTGTTGAATATAATCTTTTGGAATATACAACATAATATTTAATTAAAACCCAAAAAACTTAGAGAATAACCAATTCAACATGTGGAGGCACCCGTGATTCAAGCTGATGCTTTGCATTCGTTCGTGCTGCGGTTTGTTCCATCTCTATCGTATTATTCTTAGATGCCGAGGGTTCGATAATTAATTTGTCAAGAACTAGACAATGCTCCAATATGTATTCGATGAATTCAAGATCACGAATATGACCACCACGATATCCACAAAACTTGACGACTTTAAGGTGGTGGTGGTGTCGATTTATAGCAACATCCTTCACTTGACTATCTTTCTTCTGAAAAAACCCCCACTCGCACTCTAATACAAATTCCTCCAAGCAAGGGGACGCACTTATCAAATCAGCCAGTCTAGCAAGACTCTCGGAACCTTGTAATATATATGTTACGACCAACGTCTTTAGATTACGCAGTTGAGGAAGCTTGCTTAATACCTCATTTTGTTCCTGTAAAATCAGCCAATATTAATTAAGGATAAATTATAAAAAAACCCCTGAACTTAGGCTAAATAATGAAAAACACCCCCACTTATTCGGAATTACCATAAACCCCCTCTGATTAACTGTTGATTGAGTTTTTTTTAACAGAAAATGTGTACAATCTATTATACCTAGGTGAGAAATGAAAGAAAATATCTTAAATTGTGTAAAGTTAGTACAGTCTATTATATACCTTCTGTTAAATAGGTGAGAAATGAAAGAAAATATCTTAAATTGTGTAAAGCCTATTAACGTGACAGATTTGGTGTAAGACGGAACAAACCTCAGGGTTTTTTTTGGTAATTACGAATAAGTGGGGTGTTTTTCGTTATTTAGCAGTTCAGGGGGGTTTTCGTAATTTACCCTACTAGTGTATGTATGTCTAACCTCACTCAGCAGAGTCAAACGAAGCCTCTCCAATTGTGAACAGCAAGACAATGCAGAAAATAGAACTCTCAACGAAACATCGTCGTCTGCACGATTAACATCTACCTCAACTAGCATCGGGATATTCTCAAGCAACAATCGATCGTACGTCGCAGCCTTAAAATAAGTAAGACTTGGCGCGGAAACTACAATCGATTTTATACCATTGCAACGAACTATCTCCAAGTGTTTCAAAACGAGGGATGACGAAGAAGAACCACAAACGCGAAGATTCGACAGCTCGCTAGAGTAACAGACGATCAATTTCTCGAGTAAAGGGCAGTTACGTAAAAAGAACTCAATAGGTCCGTTACTCACATGAACATTCCTAAAGATCAATGATCTGAGCGACTTAAAGTCGACGAGTGACGCAGAAACGAGCTTTTCGGGGAAACGATAATGACTATCTAGAAGGTCAAACTCCAAACTCTCGACTCGTCTCGCAAACGCGAATTCAAGCCACCGAGTTAGTGATGCGTGGTCTGTTATTATTAAAGCGAAACGGATTCTGAATTGTTTTAAGGCGAGGGCTTTGTGCGATCGGAGGACACGGTTCACGCGCCTCACGTACTTACGTTCCTCACTCTCGATCAACTTGCGATGTGACATGCACTGCTTACGAAGCTTGGCTAATCGTTCGTCTCCGTCTAGTTTGAGACGAGCCGTGTATTTCCACAGGTTGATCCAACGAGACGAAAGAACACTAGTACGCGCAGCTTCCTCAACCGAAAGAAAAGACGAAAGGATATTATCGACCAGAATATCATCGGGCAATTGACTTATCCGATCATCTTTATAAAGCTAAGAGAAGATTATTACAGAAATTAAGTGTTTAATTCATATCCTTATCAAACAAAATAGCATTATCCAAAAAAAAAAAAAAAAAAAAAGAGATTGAATAATATTTGTTGAAATCTCACCTCTTTGGCATGAAGCATTTCCGATACGCATAAACCCTATATAGATTTGAGTTTTGTTTTGACGAATATGATTTATAAACAAAGTGTTTTTGGGTACTGTTTATTCTCTGGCCCGGCCCGTAACCTCTCGACCCAGTTCACTCTAAGCCCACATACGCACTGGGCCGTATATCATTCTTCCATGGGCAGCCCATTTTGGGGAATGGATTAAAGGCTGTGAATGAGCTGAGCCGGCTCGAACTCAAACTCTAATTTTACTTGATTTTGAGCTCGAGCATTCTAACGACCCGAATTCGAGCTTTTTATCAGTTGTTCGTGAACACATGAGTCAGCTCGCGAGCTTCTTTTTATTTTTAGTTTTAATTTTATATATATTGTTTTTTATTTAAATAATATTAATAATATAAATATTATAGTAATAATATAAAAACTACATTTAAAAATAAATAATTAAAATTACAATTCATTATTTATTTTGTAACTTTTTATTATAATATAAACAACTAATATAAATAAATTAGAAAAAAAAAACTAAAATGAGCTTGGGCCCGAGCCCAAAACACAATGCTCGAGCTCGAGTTCGAGCTCGCCAAAACAACAAGGCTCGGCTCGTTTACACCCTAAATTGAATACTTCAAAATATTGAGGGATATTTTCTAACGGATATATCTGTTGGCAAAAAATATTTCTAATGGAGTAAAACCGTGAAAACTACTGCGTTAGAAATTTAAGGCCTGAAATTGCTAACGGATATAATCTGTTTGAATAATTAACAAACCCGTTAGAAAAATAAATATTTCTAATGGTTGCTATCCGTTAGAAATATCTTTGTAAGAGTACAAATTGTAACACTTCCACCTACATTCCTAACAGATATAGCCGTTAGAACAATTAAAGAAAAGAAACATTTTTTTTTAAATAATCCACACACACACATATATATATATATATATATATATATATATATATATATATATATACTAGTTGTGTGCACCGCACAAGGCGCGGTTGCTGTGCCCAGGTTATACGGTGTATCGAAGAAAGCTATATTGCAGCCTAAACTGAAAAATCCCTTCACATGCCATGGAAATTCAGGAAAAAGTGACCAACAATTGTTATGAGTTCCAAATTTGACTCCACAAGTAACACTAGAACACTTGTGTTATCGA